TTAAGCATCGTTTCGAGGTGATTCAATGCATATCTGGCCCTTACAATAGCTCGCTGTGGCCTATCGATGTATCGAGCAAGTGCTGCTATCCTCTCAGACAATTCTGGTGCCAATTTGCTGCCCCCGGAGAGAGGGAAAGCTTGGTAGGCCATAGGCGCGGAGATCGTTTCCACGTGGGTCTTGCAGGGTGCCCTGACCACTTTGAAATACTACGAATAGGATAGAAAATCTTTGCACAATTTTTATTTTATTCGCGCTTTATTTTTTTAATATTCCGCTTTTTCTGTTTCTAATCCGCGGTGAAAATATGAAAACGGCATTAACGGCACCCAGTACCATGTCATAATCGGAGATTTCAATTAAGTACTGATTATGAAACCCTGCAGTCGCGACACCGAGTTATAACACAAAGAATGGAAGTCGAAGCTTTCTATGTGGTTTTCTTTAGTATGGAATATTAATTCCTCGTTGTGAGGTTTAGAAATGGTAAACGTTTCTTAAATTCACTACTTTAACTGCAGCGGTTTGAAGAGAAGATAGCAAAACAGATTTGGACTCATCCCGCGTTTACTATAAATTTAACAGAAAGCGTAAAAATAAAGTAGTTTTTAATCCCATTCTTCTACGAAGAAATGTTTTGCGTAGGTGGATAAGAAATTGAAGAAACACTGTGATTTCATTCTTTGATGATTATTATATAGCTNTACGAAGAAATGTTTTGCGTAGGTGGATAAGAAATTGAAGAAACACTGTGATTTCATTCTTTGATGATTATTATATAGCTCACTATAAAAGAAGTGCTCGCTGTGTTTAAGAAATAAACTTCTCCTCTTTGAAATTGACTACACAAAAAGGAAAAAATGCTTTAATTTCTTATTTCTTTATTTAATGACTTTTTCTCACCAAATCCAGATGAACTATCTTCTTTCTAGTTAGCTAGCTGAGAGACAGCAGAAACGAGGGACCAGCATGGCGTGGTGGTGAAAGCGTTAACCCCCGGAAAGGGTAATAGCGCGTACGTCACCCACCGCACAAGCACCTGCGGTCCTGAGTTTTGCAAATATCTCAGCACCATTGTGGTTGTATCTTCTTTCTTGTCGACTGTTAAATATTCCAGAGATTTGATGGGATGGCTTTTATCTCTTATGTAGCAACTTGTTTGTTGCGATTGTTATTATTACTGGGAATTTAGTTACATTGTTGTGGTGCAACTGGATGCTCGGACTATGCAATTTTTGGCGGTTATCCGACTTCATGCCAATGTCTTACTAATCCAGCTCAGGTGAGATTGTTGCTCATGAAGTCTTTGAGAAGCTTACTAATTTCTTGCCAATGAACTTCACTTTAGTCCTGGTTTTTAGCTTATCTGTATCCATGCTTCTAAGCACCTAATACTAAATAAATATTTGTGATTCAGACTGGTTGTGCGACATATATTTGGCAAGCGCTAGAGAGCAATCTTGTCTACGTGATCATTGTTGCTGCTGTCATTCTTTTCGTTGAAGTACGTAAGCCTTATAATACTATCTTCGTTCCATATTGCATTCATTTTTTCCTCCATTACAGCACTTAATGTGAAACTAGCTGCTATTTTAGCTCTTTGCGATGATCTTCTCGTGCGTGCTGGTGAGCGCAGTAAAAGAGAAGAGGAATAGTTGATGAAAAGTGGTGTGAAAAAAATCAATATTGTTCTACTGATGTTCGCTGTTTTTCTACCTTAATTCATATTTCTCATATTAGAGCGTTTTCGTACTTATTAAAAAACACTTCTGTGGTATGAAGTCATTCACGGTAGGACCTCGGTTTCAGCGTGTGCTCTGCAGCGTCCCTTTCCTGCCCTATTATTGCTGAAATCAAAGCGTAGTCTCAAATCCGAACATACACGTTTCGCGCTTCAAAATATGTTCCAAGTACACTCGTTTCTATGTGAGCTGATGAAACGCGCGTCATTCGTACACTTCTCACTACTGTTGAATTCATTTGGAATCTGAAAATTACAACTAGCAATCTGACAGAAATCTACGAAATAGAAATGTGGTAGGATACGGTTTCCTTTGGTACCAACGAATGCCGATGAAGTCGTTTCTTTCTCGGTGAATGGAACGCCTAAATTATCGATGTTATGTTTATGTTTTATCAATGCATGTAAATAAAGTTGACTACTGATATTAATACTCTGACAACTCGTCTTGAAAAAGCGTTGTTCAGGTTCGAGCAGATTTTCTCACTTACTAATAGTTTTCTAGATATTCTAGTTTTCTAGAAATGCCAGGATTTCTCCTTTTCCAGTAGTGGTAAAGCAGCTGTTGGAGTTGTTCCTGTTTTCTCACCACTACGAATAATAAAATAAATGGTTAAAGCTCTCGACGTTGATCAATCCCTGTGGGATGAGCCATGAATTCGACTTCATTAAGCATCGTTTCGAGGTGATTCAATGCATATCTGGCCCTTACAATAGCTCGCTGTGGCCTATCGATGTATCGAGCAAGTGCTGCTATCCTCTCAGACAATTCTGGTGCCAATTTGCTGCCCCCGGAGAGAGGGAAAGCTTGGTAGGCCATAGGCGCGGAGATCGTTTCCACGTGGGTCTTGCAGGGTGCCCTGACCACTTTGAAATACTACGAATAGGATAGAAAATGTTTGCTCAATTTTTATTTTATTCGCGCTTTATTTTTTTAATATTCCGCTTTTTCTGTTTCTAATCCGCGGTGAAAATATGAAAACGGCATTAACGGCACCCAGTACCATGTCATAATCGGAGATTTCAATTAAGTACTGATTATGAAACCCTGCAGTCGCGACACCGAGTTATAACACAAAGAATGGAAGTCGAAGCTTTCTATGTGGTTTTCTTTAGTATGGAATATTAATTCCTCGTTGTGAGGTTTAGAAATGGTAAACGTTTCTTAAATTCACTACTTTAACTGCAGCGGTTTGAAGAGAAGATAGCAAAACAGATTTGGACTCATCCCGCGTTTACTATAAATTTAACAGAAAGCGTAAAAATAAAGTAGTTTTTAATCCCATTCTTCTACGAAGAAATGTTTTGCGTAGGTGGATAAGAAATTGAAGAAACACTGTGATTTCATTCTTTGATGATTATTATATAGCTTACTATGGAAGAAGTGCTCGCTGTGTTCAAGAAATAAACTTCTCCTCTTTGAAATTGACTACACAAAAAGGAAAAAATGCTCTAATTTCTTATTTCTTTATTTAATAACTTTTTCTCACTGTTCTATTGATTCTTTCGCTCTGTGAAATAGTGGCCAGTGGTCTATTGTCTTGAATTGGAAGGAGTTTTTTCGTACTTCTTCTAATTAACATATCTGGATGAGACATTAAAGCTAATAAACGGGCTTTATTCCAGCTAACCTTGTAAGGATGGGAAATCTAAGCTGAGAGTTAGAGGTTAACACGCAAACACAACTCATTGCTACAGCAAGGTGGTAAACAACTAAAACGAAAATATATAGGTGGTAATAGGATCACTTTGAATTCCATACTGTTTAGCATTATGAGCGAAGTGATTCCTCCAATACACCTATGCTTGATAAGAGGTACTTATAACTAAAAAGTAAAAACACTCAGAACAAAGGTGGCCTGTTCTTTAATCCTTTGGTGAGATGTCAGAAGCAGACTCAGAAAAAAGAAGAAAACTGGGAGAATACGGTTTATTTCATAAGGTAAAGAATTTTTTAAGACATACTTTCCATCAAGAGTACAAACAATTCTACCTTTCTAGAATGCGCTGATATGAAATGAAATGAAGGTACAAGACTAGAGAACTGAGCCAAAACTGATAGCTTAAACAGAGCCACAATACAAAACAAAGAAAAGAAAAATGAACACCAGATCTGTATTTAGATTCCCATACTATGATGAAAAAGTTCTCAGAAAAGGACATCATTGAATGTGATCCATAGAAAACTGATACGCGAGATCATGAAGGAGACTACTACTGAAGTATATTGAACTCAACATAAGAAAACAGTCGATTCTTGATTGTTGTTACGAAGCGTTAAAAAATTCGGAACTATGTAATTCATTATTTGAATAAGCATGGTAGTTGTGATCTGAGATAAGTTGATATCCGAAAACGACAGGTGTAAAAACGAAAACAATGCCCAACAAGCCAGTGCTTCAAAATTAATGACATCAGCTTCCGCTCAAACACATTTGGTTTTGTTGTCTATGTGGAAAAATTGTGGAAAACTATTGAAAGGGAAGGAAAAACAGATAGAAAAATCTATGTACAAACAAGTACCACAACGAATATTTTTTCATTATTTTACAATCTATTGAATTTTACAATCACTTTCGTCAATAACCTTAACATTGGTGGAGGTTTTTTCACCACGCCCACGCATCTTCAGGGATAGGCGTTTCGTAGACCTGAAGATTATCGAAATGAATCGAATTACTCGTAGAAAAATTACGAAAACATGAAGATGTGTGATGAAGTATTATTACTGCAGTGTTATTACATTGCCTGTTATTATTGTGTTAAGGGGAGGGTGTAGCACAGTAGTCGGACGTTCCCTGCAATACACATGGGATCGATCCTCGCACCCCAGGCTCACCAAGCGTTCCATCCCTTCGGGGTCAGCAAATTGTTACCAGACAAATCTGGTGAGATAGCTACACTGAATCGATAGATTGATAGGCCACTGCGAGTTATTGTAAAAGCCAGTTATGCATTGGGTCACCTCCAACGATGCTTAATGAAGTCGAATGCATGGAGCATCCTTCAGGGATTGATCAACGTCGAGAGCTTTATCTTCTATCCTTTTATTATTTTATGTAGAAGCATGTTGAGAATGTGTCAACCACAATCAAAGGTTGCTTAACATGATGTCTAAATAGGTTGTTTTGTTTAGTCATTACAATATACCTGATTAAACTTGCACTGCGACTGAGCTTATGATCTTCATCCGACAGTCTCCTTTCAAGTTGATCCTTTTCTTTGCCGTGTTTCGAAGGTTTTATCTTCAATACAAATGTTATTTACTAAAAATTCACATGCGATCGTGGAAAATCATCGAACAGGAAAAGCGAAGAAACATACTCGCAAAGATCGATTCCTTTTAAGACTGTCAAAATCGGTTTTGGGTATCCCAAGAGATGGACATGTCTGTTGTTTATCTATGACAGGAATCTTGCCATTGTTCTCTAACTTAAATTATTATCATTATTTAGGCTTTGTTATAACATAGAGGCATAGAGTCACATACTTTGCTCTACCTTCGAATTTACAGGTTTGTTTTGAAAAGAGATATTTATGATGGAAAGCACCATATTTAAAATGCTGTTGCATTGTTTCTATTCAAGTTTTATTGTTCTTGTAAAGTTTTGTCCTTTATTGTTCAGAAATTTTGCTTTATTGCCCATCTATTGTTGGACAAATTGGCAAGAAATACTTTGGTGTTGATTTTAGGACCTTTAGTATTATGTCCGAAGGTTGAGAAGCTAAAAGCTAGAAAGCCAAGTGCTAAGGTATTGGCATCAACATGAGGCCATTTATTTAGAAATAATTCTGCAGCGCCTTTAATTTTACTTGACATTTATCAAACTAATTGATCTATAGGGGTAAATTTTTTTCTGGCTATCAAAAAAAAAAAAGAAAGCCTGTTTTAAAGTGGAAACAGATCAACACTAAAACAGGTAAGTGCTTGTGTCGGCCTTGGCAATATTTCATTTTCTTCTTCCGTGGTTGCCATCTTCTAAAGCAGTCCTTTTCATGTTTGGTGTTGTATGCAGATGCTTTATTTGGAGCATAATTTTCCTCAAGCTGTGAGTACTGCGCCTCGTTGACGTGAGCCACAAACGTTTCTCCACATCTTGTAGATGATGGAGCTGGAAGGCGTTTATATAGTCATGAGTTCCACTCCATTGTTCTTCACGCCTGTACTCATGAATGACTCATTTGCGTTTCAACTACGTAGTATATTAAATATTGTTTCATTGATAAGCTAATAGGAAAAGTTGGAAAGCAAACATGTAGTCGGCTAACGTTCCGGCGTCTTCGTCTTCCGCAGAGCCGATGATCCGAGTAGATGGTCCACAGTCGCTCGTACTCTCGATATGGTGGTGTCTTCGTCGTCGTATCGAGTCGAATCGTCTTCAGTGGAGCACCACTCAAAGAGGCAACCTCACTCACAGCGCTTCTTTGTACGGGACGATTGCTGTTGATAATGACTATTCGTTGATGATAATTAGCTTTTCAATGGACATTCCGTCCTGCAGTGCTCGATATTAGATAAGCTCGTACCAACCTCGCGTCAGCTTAAGAAGATCAGTTTATAAGATCACATAAATAAACGATGTGATCGTTCCCCAAATACGCCACGCTTTTGTGTGATTTCCAATGCCCGACGTAGTCAATCCTTGTTGGAAAATAATTTCTTGTCCAGATGGACAGATCATGTGCGGCCTTGACGGGAACCCGGCGAAATGGCTTCATTATTATTCTTGTTTCCCGTTCCAAATTCTAGCAGAAGTCTAAGTCTTTGAGGACAAATATACGATTGGAGTTCTGTTACAGATTACTTCCTTCCACTTATAAAAGCATTCACGTGAGTAGCTCTAATGAGTTGCGAAATTTATTAACTAACAGTTGTTGACGTTGGGCTTCTTTTGTTGTGAAAGTTGAAGATGGGAAATGACCTGCAAGCTGATAGGGTCTCATGTGAGTAAAAGATCTTTAACACATCAATAATGCTGACAGGATAAGACCAGAACACCTGAAGAACCTTCCGCCAGCCCTCATAAACACAATGACTCGGCTCTTCACACGTTACCTGTCTGAATGCAAGGCCCCTACTCAGTAGAAGCTCAGCAAGATCGTGTTATTGTTCAAGAAGGGTGACCTACACGATATCGGCAACTATCGCCCAATCTGCTTGTTGTCTGTCGTCTACAAACTTTTCACTCGAGTCATCCTAAACAGGATTGACAGAGCATTAAACGAAGGACAGCCATGAGAGCAAGCAGGGTTTCGAAGAGGATTTAGTACGATGGACCACATCCACACGATAACAAGGCTCATTGAAGTATCGCGAGAGCACAAAAGACCGCTTTGTCCCATTTTCATCGATTAACAGGTCTTTGATCCAGTTGAGATGGAAGCAGTCATGGAAACCCTTGATAATCAAGGAGTCCCTGCTCAGTACATAAAGATTCTTCGTGAGCTGTACAAAAATTTCACCACCAAGGTATCACCAATTTACAACGATGTAAACATTGATGTCGAAAGAGGAGTTAGGCAAGGCGATACCATCTCGCCAAAATTATTTGCCGCCACACGCCAGAACGTCATGCGAACATTGGAATGAAATAATGTGGGAGTGAAAATCGATGGTCGGCAGTTACACCATCTTCGCTTTGCTGATGAAATCGTTCTCAGAACACCAAACATTAGCCAAGCGAAACAAATGCTTACCCATTTTGATGTAGCCTGTGGAAAGATTGGTCTTCGACTAAATCTCACAAAAACGATGTTCATGAGAAGCGGATTAGTTTCGCATGCACCATTCGCGCTCATCGGGACGAATACCTCCAAATCTTCCAGTTACATCTATCTAGGTCGGGAAAGGAAATCAATATGATGAACGACCTAACTCCAGAGTTGAGCAGAAGAAAGCGAGCGGCTTGGAGAGCTTTCAAGAGCATCGGGGATGTAGTGAAGAGAACAAAAAACACCCGACTCCGCACCCATCTTTTGAACTCAACGCTATTTCGTGCCCCAACGTATGCGTCAGAAACTTGGTTGCTGCGTAAGCAGGATGAAAGATCACTCAGCGTTATCGAACGCGCAGTCGAAAGGACGATGCTAGGAGTATCCCGCTCCACACAAGTAAGGGATAGAATCCAAAACTCCAATCTGCAACAAAGATCAAAAATTAAAGATGCCATTCTGTACGCCAAACAGTCGAAGATAAGGTGGGCCAGACACGTAATGCGTATGAATGACAACGGATGGACAAGACCCGTTAGTGACTGGATTCCTCGGGATGTCAAACGGACTGCAGGAAGAGCACCGACCCGATGGTCAGAGTTCTTCACAAGGAGCCTTGAAGAAAGATATGATGCACGACGAGTCCCTAGGGCGAGCAGAAGCCACTGGGCTACTCTTGCACGCGACAGGGAAAAATGGAAGATTTACTGGCGCCTGCTCGAGTCACTCGACGATCAACGGGACTTACAGGTGCTACAGGTGATAGTGCTGAGATATTTGCAAAACTCAGGACCGTAGGTGTCTGCGGTGTGGAATGAACGCGCTATTAAAACTAAAATTGAACGTTATTGTAACTATAGCCTCAGCTTAACTGGATTCAATGCCGATTTGGGTTTCCCAGATCAATCCCGTTGACGGGGATTACTGATGGCAAAAGATCGATAGAACTAGCTGAGAGACACGGAAAACGAAGGACCCGGCTGGTGTGGTGGTGAGCGCGTTACTGCCCGGAAAGGGCAATAGCGCGTTCGTTCCCCACCGCAGACACCTACGGTCCTGAGTTTTGCAAATATCTCAGCGTAAAAGAGTTATATTTCGCAACACATTCTGCGATAAAAAAGAATGGGCAGTAAATAAAAAGGTTAAGGATCTTTAACACATTTATTACAGCTGTCGAAACCTTAACGCTGTTGCTTTCTAACGAAAAGTTTGTTAGTTAGCAAATCCTTCTTCGGCTTTTTAAAGCTATTTTCAGAAAATACGACTTTAAATTGACGCTATTCTTCGCGAAATTGAATTGAGAGAGATTTTGAGTGTTAAAGGTCTTATAGGAATTACTAAGTGAGGCCAGAAAGCTTGCAACAAACCCTAGAATGATGTCGAATTCCTTCTCTACTGGTTGAACGTGCCCTTGCAGATTTTAAACGTAGGAGAGGTGAAGCGGCAACCCATTCCCTATTTTTGCTCGATGTCAGTTCATCAGTGTCGTCTAACAATCCTCTGCTATCCTTAAATGGTCCAGCAATCTAGTAATAAGTTAGGGCACATTTTTCTGATCTTGTCAGTTGACATTATTAGGAGCATTTGTGGAGCATAATTTTTGTTTATGGAAAAATGCAACCTTTTTCATTCAATGGTGGATTTGTCAAAAAATACATGCCAATATAATGAATTATCTATATTCGTTCTTCACAGACTTCAGATCTCACTGTTTTTATTCGTTGATGGTCAAAGTGTTTTCGAATCTCACATTATTGTAGGGAAAACCACTGAGCTCCAAGAGTGTTCGGAAAATCTCAGTCACTCGCAGATTGGTTTTGGCCGAAACCTCCAGGTAGCGAACGTCACCACTTAATCTACTCGTGAATGCTTTCGCAGTATCTTCGAAGATCTGAAAATAGGCCAGATGGGCTGACATATCAAGATAACGAAATGACGCTGGTCTAACGATTGTGGTTGTCAGTATACTAACCTTCTTGCTTGGCAGGTCACATTTGTTCCCCACGACAACAACGGGAAGTGTGGCTAAGTCTGGACGTCGTGCACTAATTTCTTGCCATATATCCGACATCTGAAAGAGACCATTACTTGTATTATTTTCGGTTGTATAACTAACGAATCCCGTTAACTCAAACGCTCGTATCGCCTTAATGTCCAAGTCGTCATCCGGTCACTCAGTCACATGATACTTGATATTCAAATGGCCCGTCTTCACTGGTTGTGCGGACCCCGGGATAATCTCCATTTTTCGGAGATTTGCTGGTTAAGCCATTGTAGTTCTTCAGAATCCCGAGGTTAGCCTGGCCAAAGTCTGCCCCAGGTCTTCACCACCACAAGCAGTCGCACTTGTGGATCAGAGATAGATTTGCCACCATGCGACTTTGATACCAGGACCCGGTAGATCCTGGTACTGATTCACATTTAGCTGGGCTTCCTAATAAAGACGCGAGACTAGTTCTCAGCCTGGGAGACCTCTACGGGATGAATCTTCCTACTGTCCATCGCAGCCCGACCCCCATTAACACTACAATGAAGCGGTAAACCGTTGGAAGGCCCAGTCACTCAGAAATAGTCGGAGTTTTACGAGATGACATAACTAATGAAAAAATCAATACACATACTATGCAGTGTATTCAGGTTCAGCGTATTTTTTTCACTATGTCAGCAAATTCGTTTCAGTTTAACAGCTGTTTAATATATTGTTAATAATATCATTACCGCATTACCTCCTTAAAACTGGGAACATCATCGACAGCGAAGACAAGTAGAAAGGCACTGGCTGACGCTATAGATACTTTACGCATATCCGGAAAATTGAAGTTGGTATCCAGAATGTCGAGAAGCAAAGGAGCACCCTGAATTTGCAAATGTAAATAACAAAGATGCGACATTTTCGATCAATTATTAGTTCTATTTTTTCAGAATTATTTTTGTAGAAAAGTATACTAAGGGCACCTTAGCTACAAAAATGGTCAATTTACTAAATTTCCAGTTGTTTTCAGCCACTATTGTTCCATGTGGGTCAGATGGGGCAGTGGCAGTGATGGCTTTCGTCACTAACACGATGCTAATGCGAGCCCGCGCAGACCACGCCAAATCTGCTTCGGGGTCGGCAAATTGGTACAGGATTTTTCTGGGACTATTTCGGTTACTGAAATCTTCGTGAAAGTACTCTAACACGACTATGTCAGGACTCCATGGAGAGTAGGCTAAACCGGCATTCAACGACATTCGTGTAGCAGCGGAAAAATTCCTTAAGCAGTTGCAGAATTCACATGAGGAAATGTGCGGAAATCGTTGGAGGCGATGGCTGCGAGGAAACGAATCGAATGCAAGGAACGCTGCAATCCGTGCAGTTGATGTTAAAAAGTGTTATGTAAAATAAAAAGTAAATAAATTATACGTTGAATTACAGAGCGTTGTTTTAGTTGTTAATAAAGACTGAAATAAAGTAGAAGCAATTCTTGGAAATAACAGTGGGTATAAGACCGCTCTGTTATTTCACATTAATAGTATTCACACTGTATATCGCTAAAGGTTTCTTTTGATACATGGTTACTTGGATCACCCATTTTCACAAGAAGTTCGAACTCTTGAACATCGTCCATTCGTGTCTTCCTCGCGCATTTGCTGCCCACGGTGGTAGACCGCTTCAAACCTAATGACGTCCGCGAGACACTTTTCTTAATCCATGAGTCATCTCTATCTGCCAATGCAGATATTTAACCAAAGTCACGAATCCTGCGAAACCAATCGCTTGGAATTCGTCGAGAAAGACACTTGCATTCTCTTGGAATCCGATCCACTCTTTTTTCGTCCATTTGTCATCTGTTATTCTTATTGAAGGATCGACCCATCCAAGTTTCGATATTTATGTATATTCTCCTAGATCCCGAAGATGGGGTAAGTTGTGAAGATCTAAACTCCACATTCCAGCTAAGACGTTGTAAGTGCAGGGCAAATTATAAAACATCCTCATTGTGATTTCGAGCACAGCCTCAGCTTAAGTGAGTTTAGTGCCAACTTGTGCTCCCCAGATCAATCCCGTTGACGCTTGGTTGCTGAGAGCTCCGTTATGGTAAAACAGTGGGTGGGAGAAAGACAAAATGAGGGCTTCAGTTGTGCCGTGTGCAACACGTGAACCGTCGGAAAAGGTAATCGCTGTTCGATCATATCTGCGATCCAGGTTTTGGAAATATCTCAGCATCTTTGTGGTTGTATTTCACACAATACCCTGTAATTAAAACTGAGCAGAAGATAAAAGTTACACATCTCAAAACACATCGCTTATGAGCTTTACGACACGCAGCGCAATTTATGACGTGGTTTAACATTAGTCTACGTACCTGCTTCATAACAAAGCGCTCGAAGGAATGTTTAGTCGAAAAGGTTAGTGCGGAGTTTTGGATCTAATAGTTGATCGGTGGCGTCTTTGAGTGGCCCGGATGCTGCCATGCTGCTCTCCTTCATCTGTCTAATACGTCTTTCATGTCGTTCTTCGTGTTCAAGGGCGTCCGAAGGACTATTAATTTTCGCACCATACATGGTCATGGCAACTTCTATGTCCATCACGATCTTCTTAAAAATCGAGGAAAGTGCGTAGCGCAGTGATAACGGGCACCCTGAAACACACATAGGATCGATCCTGCTCTCCAGTCTTGCTATGCCTTCCATCCGCTCGTGGTCGGAAAATTGGTATCAGACTTGTCTTGGAGGGTAGCAGCAGTGAATCAACACACTGTCAGGCAACCGCGAGTACAGGCCAGATATGTTTTCAATCACCTCTAACGATACTTAGTCAAGTCGAATGCATGACGCATACCACAGAGGTTGGTCAACGTCGAGAGCTTTAAGAGCTTTATACTTCACTTTCCTTTATCGAAAGTCGAATTGCTATCGCAGAGGAATGATGTTGACGAGAGCCCAACAAGAAGGTGTAATTTGCCATTTTAGTTTCCTATTCGAGGTTTTGCGATCCTGCAATCAATCTCACTAGTTTTCCTTAATCTTATAATGAAATGTCAACAAAAAATTTATACAGGGACTTTCCATTGCGGATTACTCTCTCTCTGCATAGTTGAACAAGTTTTTGAGTAACCGTTGATGATACTGAACTTCTTCTAGCGTGGAGGTTGACGACAGAACATGGTCAAGCGAAGAGGCTGGATTTCATATCAGACAAAGAGTTATTTAATGTATACGTGTACAACAAAGCCTACGCCACTGTGATGTAATGAGGGAATATTTTTCTGACGATTGACAAGAGTTCTACCAAAGACTTGGCTCATGTTGGTCGTCATGGTTTTTGCATCTCGTTGGACAATCAGATGGAAACTGATGCAACCGGCGACACAAAGCAGTAATGTGAAATCGATATCCAAGAGGAATAACTCGGTTATAGAAGCAGAGCAAGAAACAATCTCTATAGCGTGTTGGGTGCGTGTTCCTGGGCTCCAGTTTCACTGACGAGCCTTGCAACCCGAGATTTGATTACCTTTCATTACGTGACTATCATCCCAACGTCATAGACGGAAGATAATTTATTGTTGAGGTATTCTGTTGCAGGAGGAGTGGGCGGCGCAGCGGTTAGTGACGTTGTGCATCAGGAAGCAAGGTGATGGTTCGAACCTCCTGCCTAGTACTCTCCCTCAATCTACGTGGGAACCCTTTAGCTCAGTTATCTCTATGATTGCAAGGATGATCCACTCGACCAGCATTCTACGACATTCACAGTGAAGAAAAACCTTTAAGCAGCAGCCGACACAACACGCGAAATGTTCGAAGGCCTTTGTGGACGATATATTCGATGAAAACGGATAGAATGCAAGAAGTGTTGGGATCCGTAAAGTGGATGTGATGGGAGTTCATGTTAAACTAAATAAAAAATACTGCTACAATGATGCTGAGATATTTGCACAACTCCGGAGCGCTGGTGTCTGGACTCGTGTGGTGTGATGTTGAACCTGTTAGCGTCTGGAAAGGGTAACAGCTTGTTCGGTCTCCATCGCAAGCACCAGCTGCCCGGAGTTTTGCAAATATCTCAGCATGGCAATTGTTGTATTTCACATAATGCCTTTCCGTTTAAAAGAATAGGTAGTGAATAAAAAGTGACGACATTGTGATAAATGAAAAATATTTTATCGCAATTGGCAGATTAGTTGACTTTTCCTTGGGTTACAAACCAGTCTCTGGTCTTTGTGCATCAGGGCAGGACTTGACACCATGGGACTAGTTTGTTACTATACGGAGGTAAATCCTGGCATTTATTTACTCCTTGCTGGGCAACCGGATGAAAACGGCGAACTCGTTTTCACGTTGGTAGGGAGCGACCTTCCACTCTACATCGTAGCACCACAACCAAAAGCGTCCGTAAGCAATAATGAGGCGACAAATTATTTTTAGAGGGATGGGAGCAGGTTAAAATTCAGAGGATTTCTTGAAATAAGATAGCATTTCTTTCATTTAGTAATATTAGTTCGAAAAAACAAAAACTCTTCTTTCTGAGCGAGTCGTTGCTAACAGCGCTTGAGAATGGCTTTGTTTCCCGTTAGAAATCCTAATAAGGTGGTAATTGATTTTGTTTTAACAGAAGTTGTCAATACCATACTATTGATTACGAGTGCTAGGATGCCAGCATAAAGACATTACTCATTACGCGTACTGCAGAGCTTTGATGGGCATTTCGATGACCGTGACTAGAATCATTTCAGGTCCCTATTAGATTTCAGTACTTTGCTAAAGGGTGGAGCAGAAATTATGCCATATCTACGCTCTGAAAATCAATAAATGATAATGACGAGAAGCGAAGCAGCAAACTGCAAGTATGCGAGAGTTAACTGATAACTTAATAAACTCTTCAAAGTGCGTAAAATTTCATCACATGGTTTTAAATGAGAATTCTATGCCTAAAATTAGTGTTCTCTTGCTATAGAAAAAAACGTAGCAAATAAAAAAACCTTTATACGAAATTGCCGAGAGTGAAGATCCTCGATAGTCTCTTTGTACTTTTCCGAGAATTCATTGTAGAGATATCGCCGAATAAGATTCGTTTTACCAACTTTCGTCGAACCGAGTACCACCAAACGATGTCGTTCATCGCCCATTCGTGAAAAATGCGCTGATCTGATGGAGTTTTTTTCTTTTCTACTTTCGTTTTTTGTGCACAGCTAGAAACGATCATCGCGGAAAACGAAGAAAAGTGAAAAGAATAGAACTGAAGAACAGTGGTGAATTATTTAATGCGAATATGAATACGTCATTATAAGATCGAAATCAAACGATAGAGCTCGGAAAGAGACGAGGCAATTAAAAAGACGAAAAAGAAATTGTAAAATGATAGGGTTATAGAAAAATCTCTCTAATTGGAGGTCAATTAAAAATTCGGTACCCGGTTTCCTAGATTTTTCCTTGATTTTTTCGAGGAGATTTCACAGATTTTAAATAAAACAAGGTAAACGAAGTTCTGCGAGGACTAAGTTAAAACATTTTTTCAAAAATTTAAGTGATTCTAAGCGCGGGCAAAAATCATTACGACGCTATACGGTAGATGAAGAGAATATCTGAGTAAATCACATTCGCTGGAGTTTCAAAGGAAGTTGGTAAAGTGAACATATATGCAAAATGGGGACAAGTAGAGGGTCATTTAGAAAAGTAAACAGTTTTTCTTTTATGTATTCTTTCTTTGATGAGCTTACACGAGGTTGATAATGATGTTTATTTTCGGTTAACGTTTCGACGTCTTCGTCTTCCTCAGAGCCGATGATCCGAGTCGATGGTCCTCGCTTGTTATTCGTCTCGACGTGGCAGCTTCGCCTTCGTGTCGAGTCAGGTCCTCTTCAGTGAGCCATCTCCTCGAATGAGGCATCCTTACTCAGTGATGCCCTTTTATACATGATGCTGATGGTGGATATAATGATAATGTCCGGTGATAACAACTTGTTTTTCTTCCGGACATAATCATCGCGCACATCGTGCAGAACTCGGTGTTATTATCAGCTATCACAAAGCGTAGCAATATTTCGAAACCGACTTTCCTTGAACCTTGGTATCACTAATCAATATGTATTCTTTCTCTTTCTTTCCGAGTTTTTCTTTTATTTGAAAACAAACAGCGACTGTGACACAGGAAATCATATTATAAAAGTTATTCCAGATAGAAATAATCTGATGCCAACTGCAAAGCATGGAATAGTTTAGAAAGCTACTTCGAAAGAATAAAGATACCGAACCGTTTTAAAAAATATGACGAAGACCTTATTGTATGGTAGAGCTTGAAGTGTACAAAGCAGTCAACAGGAATGACCACCGGCACTCGCAGCCGGCATCACTCCAAATTAAACGAAACGGCAGATGACTTTCTTCAGTAGCGCTAGCAATGTTTTCAACCGTTAAATAACCATTCACAATCCTTCATAACATTTCAATTCGAGTAAGTATTTTTTCTGTAAAATATCTCCTTCCAAGAAATTTTCGTGGATGATGTTAACTGATGTATTTAAATTCTACCATGTTATTCAATAATGTCACAGTAATTAAAAAGTAGCTGATACCAACTTTGCGTCAGCTCAACAATGGCCGTTCGTAAGATTTACATAAATCTTATAGTACGACAATACTCGGCCAAGCAAGAATTTCATTCTGCTAAGAACGGCAAATTAGTAGCGGACTTGTGTAGGAAAAACCCTCGCTGCTAGGAAACGTCCAATGTTTGGCCCTGCTAAAGACTTGGGAACGCTCTCCTTCAGGATTTCAGGTAGCACAAAGTCAGCCAGCATTACACGAAAGATTAACGAATAAGCTAAAGTGCTTGAGAAGCAACCCAATCCATGCGCAACGCAACGAGGGGCTTCGTGTATGATGGAGGGAAGAGAACAAAATGAACAGAGAATGTTCTGCTATCCACACCACATAGGTGAGGTTTTCATCAATAGGACGCTTCAAAAGCATGGATTAATGGAAATCAAATATGTCAGTATTAGTGAAATTAATCACTCCATTGATGGAGTGAAAGGAGGCTCGTATCGAAAACAATATTTGTCTTCGGTACGAAGTAAAAAAAAATTCGACTTTTGGATTTCTTAGACATTTCTACGATACTCTCTTCAATTCCTTTCTCTAACTACCACATGATCAGCTGTTATCAGAATAAGTTAAGCGATAGCATTTCAAAAAATCTGATGGAGGATATCTAGAAAATTAGGCTCTCCACTAAGAAAAACTCTGAAAACGAAATTTAAAGCAGCGTAACTTTCCAAACGAAATCCTCTCTCATAAAACGAAGGTTTCGAGACGAATTTCTTAAGAAATTTTCAGATGCCACCACTACTAACTGATTGACTTCATCCTTCTTCTACACATGAATTTTTAAGCATAAAACTCAATACAGCAAATCACGACAAATCGATATTTATATAACCGACAATTTGATTCGATGTTAAAAATGTTCGCCCACTGAGTCATTCACGCAATCTGAATTTCCGATTTTGATGAAATCCGTCCTAAACTTCGAAACTGTTTGAGTTCTTTAAAGATCTGTTTTCAATTTGTCTGGGCATTAAGATTTTCAATTCATTTGAAATTTAGCTTCATTCAAGGCTAATAATCTTTAATTTGGAGGGCATACTCCACTACAATGGGCTTTCACATTAATCAAGACTTTCTTTTCTTTTTTGAAAACCGTTTGCGTACAGTCGCAAATATCCATACTTTAATAACTCGAAAGACCGACTTTCTATAAACCTCGGCATGGATAGTTGATATATTTATTTATGTGATCTTATAAACTGATCTTCTTAAGCTGACACGAGGTCGGCACAGAACTTCGTTGTCGTTGTCGTTGTTTTTGTTGTTATTGATCGATGGCTGACGTTTCGGCGACTTCGCCTTCCTCAGAGCCTGGACGTACTTTATGTTAGAATACTTTTTATTGTACCGTACCTCTGTACCAACCTCACGTCAGCTTAAGAAGATCAGTTTATAAGATCACATAAATAAATATATCCATACTTTATTGGACTATTAGTTGATAAAGTGTAATACGAGAATATGTGGATTTTGGCATTTAGAGCCCTATGTAAACTGACAACTGAGACAGAACGATTTGAGCTGCAAACTAGGACATCTCAGCTCAAAGTGGACCTTATTTTTTATTATATATGACCCATCTTTCACATCTAGTGTGCGCATCCCAGCACTTTCGGCATTCTATTCATTTCTTTGCATCCATCTTCCACGAAGGTCTTCTAAATTGGCCATCTCTGAAGCCCTCAGATAGCTAGGCTGGAGCGTTCCCATTTGAATTGCAAAGGGCGAAATTTTCGCGGACAAGTTCTTCACCAATCTCCAGACGTCGGAGGGAAGGAAGGTTTAATAAGTTCATAGGGGGCTCGAACCAGCACCGTGCTCGTGATGGCCAGTGAATCTTATTGTCCGAAATAGAAACCACTGCAATCTATACGTATTTGCCGATAGGATGTAGATCATCAAATTCTGCTAGAATGGAATTTTTGTGCTAAGTTAACAAGAAACAGCATATTTGTCGGTTTTTATCTCGATCCTCCCAACAGTTTACCTTCTCATCGTGGCTGGGAGGTGTTCCTGAGTGTCGGACTGCGATGTACAGCGGGGATTCATCTCCTGGCAGAATCTTCCAGGCTAAGAACGAGTGCTAGGTTTCGATCAGGAAGCCTAACTCAGAGTAAACCAATACCAGGATCCACTATCGTCCCGATATTAAGATCGCATGGTGGCAAACCTTCCTCTGATCCACAAGGGACCGTGGTGGTGAAGACCTGTGGCAGACACTGGCCAGGCTGACCTCGTGATTCCAGAAAACCACAATGGCTTAACTAGCAAATTTCCGAAAGATGGAGGTTTTGCTGGAATTCGTGCAATGAAAATGGGCCATTGAAGTATCAAGAAGTATATCCATTACCAAATTTTTTAAACCGGCTGACAGCACAGTGGTAGTGATGCCCGTCATCACGACCGTCTGATCCCTTTCTTGGTTCGCCAAGCCTCTTATTCCTACGGGGTCGGAAAACTGGTGCTGGACTTCTCAGAAAAAAATCACCCCGCAATCCAACTGAGACCGCTCCAGCCCGACTATCTCATAAGTCCAGGGAGAATCGACCAAGACAGCATTCTACGACATTCAAAATAAAATGAAAATTCTCAATCAGCAGCTGAAACCAACCATAAAAGTTGGAAGACCTTCGTGGATGATGGGTGCGAAGAAGCGAACCGAATGTGAGAAGTGCTGCGATCCGCACAGTAGACGTAAAGACGGATCGTGTAAAAAAATAAAGAATAAAAAAACATATTCGTTCATAAAACAGATGCAGCAAAGCCTTTCATTGAACACTATTCTGTTCCCAATTCCTGAAGTCCCAAAAATTATGAACAGTGGTGCGAAGAAGCATTTTAGGAGTCTTAGTGCTGAAACAAAGGATATGCATGAAAATATCTCTATATTACAGTAATTGAAGAGATCCTAACCAAATTTCTTTATTTCATATTATCGAAAACATTATAGCAGTTCCTTATCTCCCCGACTATATTTAGAATACTCGATTTCATTTCTGAAAACAAAATTTAAGTGCAAGGCGACATTTCAGTACAGCTATCTTCACATGGTAGCCATTCCATGTGGATTAATCGGACAAAGTTATTTGAAATTGATGGCAAATTCAATGATGCTGAGAGCCTTTTCCGGAGAGTAACGCGTTCACCACCACACCATGCGGGTCCTTGGGCTTCCCAGATCAATTCCGCTAACGGGTGATTGTTAATGGCACTGATCGATAGAACTAGCTGAGAGATAGGCGAAACCGGCATGGTGTGGTGGTGAACGCGTTACTCCCCGGAAAAGACAATAGCGCATAATAATTAGTTAAAACTGCCACGGCAAATAGTTCAAATCCAGATGACACCTTCTGCAAGCCACTCGTCAGTGGCAATCGGAAATGGTATCTATAATTTGTAATTCTTCCACTATTTCTTACGCCTAGCTTCGCTGATGATTTTAACTTTTGATGCCTTTTTCTTAAATGCATCCTCCTGAACGCACTAGAATGTCATGTGATTCCGATGACATTAGTCTTCC